ACAAATAGAGAAGAAATATACGTGTCATTCCTTAAACATTCGAAAATACGCACTGCATTTTATGTGTGAAATATATGATATCCCTTACCAGCCAGCAGCTGCTATAGCTAGCTTGCCATTATTATTTTTGCACTCATTTGATTATTGTTTCTTCATGTAGAAATGTTTGTCTTCTTTCCTGGAGAACGCATCTTACGTGATAAAGGAATTTAGTGCCGTGAGTTATAAGAAAAGGCAAAATGATAAATACATTTGGTAGGTCAGCCGAACCAAATCACGTAGAGAATTTGCCAGCAAACAAAGAAAAGGCAAGCATTTCACAAATCTAATGCAGTGACACTTGTTAACTGCCAATTCATCTTAAAAACTTAAACAACTATAATTTTTTATTCTACAACACCTACCATCTTCCAAGATAAAGATGAATATAGTGATATATAGCTAGTGCATATCTATAATACAACAATATATATATATATATATACACACACATACATGCATATAATAACTATATATGTGTCATGGTTATATAATTATGCTCCATTCAGGTGGACCATACACATTTTTTTTTTTAAATAATGAGACCATACATTTATTTACTAACATATAGAAATAAAAAAAATTAATATATCATATTTATTTAATATCACGTTGATATAGGAAATATGTAATATCAAGAAATTTAGTAATCCCCAATTATTGTTACTTATTTTCAATGTTAATTTTATGTTGAATAAATATTCCCTTGTATTTTTTATTTTATATATTACGTAAAAGTATGGTCCTTAAAAAAAAATCGTGTATGTATACACGGGAAGATTTTACGGTCACGTAAGCAATAAGTGCATATAATAAGGCGTGTATTGCTGGAACTGGAATATACTGTTTTTTGCTAAATCTGGAATATACTGTTTTAGTAGCCGTGGAATGATACTTATAAGATATCATGTCAATCTAAAGTTTCGTTTATTTCACTAATTCAAATTTTGTTATAGTAAAAAGTTCTCTAAAATAGTTAAATTTAACTTTTTTATTATAGTAAAAAATTTTCACATAAAATCACATTTTAATTTAAATTAAAAACTTAAATTAACAAACTAAACGGATCCTAAATATGCGTCTTTTGGTGCACAGAATTAGGGCCAACAATGTACTGGACTGGTGACTGGTGAGTGTACGAGTTAGTGCGATATTACTTTTTTTTTTTTTTTTTGCTGGAAAAGTTAGTGCGATATTACTCATAATTAAAAATCATTACTGCAAAAATATTTAAAAATCATTACTTGTTACCTTAAAAAAAAAAATCATTACTTGCGGTCAAAGAGCTTAACACCAATAAAGAAGGTTTCTCTGGGAGTAAAAGGCCCAGTTTTTCCTCTAAAAAATAAATAAATAGTTCCGGTTTCAAACATGGTTAACGGGATTAATGGTGACGGAAGCTGGCTGTATACGCTAATTCTTACCCTGCAACTTAAATATTAGATTCTGAAGATAATTGTTATGTTATAGAAAACTTTTAAGCAAAGACTTCACAATTCTGTGGCATTTAGTCTAAAACAGCAGTTAAAATCTACTAATCTTGCATGATCTATTAAAGGTGTCGTGAAGAATAAAAATACATTGATACAGTAAAACAAAATAAATTATCACTTTAACTACCCCTTCATTAAAAGGATGAAAAACTACCTATGATTCACTTCTAGCAACATTTTTTATAGGCCACTAATCTTCGCTTCTAATTTGGTAGTGCTGTAGATTTTAGAAAAATTACTTTTAGCTGTGCTGAAAGAAGAAGCAGCTGTTACAAAAAACAGCTGAGTATTTAGTAAACTATAATTATAGTAGCTGTGCTGGTTCTAAATCAGTGTAATAGCATTCGGTAAATTATGAGGTTGAATTATTGTGGATAGTTAAAAATTACAACTATATTATATTATATTATAATATAATATATGATTTTAGAAAAATTACTTTTAGCTGTGCTGAAAGAAGAAGCAGCTGTTACAAAAAACAGCTGAGTATTTAGTAAACTATAATTATAGTAGCTGTGCTGGTTCTAAATCAGTGTAATAGCATTCGGTAAATTATGAGGTTGAATTATTGTGGATAGTTAAAAATTACAACTATATTATATTATATTATAATATAATATATATTTATTATTATATTAAATATAATAAAAAAACTATTATTATATAATATATTATATAATTATAGTA